CCCCCCCCCCCCCCCCCCGCCAACGCCGTGGAATGGGGCGCAAATCCACCGCGGAATGGAGGCCGCTCCGGCCAAACGTTCTCGTGACGGGCACGCCGGGCACGGGCAAGACGACGCTATCGCAGCAACTGGCGTGCGAGGTAGGGCTACGGCACGTGGACGTGGGGGACTTTGCGAGAGAGCGAGGGCTGCTCGGGGCGCACGACGCCGCGCTTGACTTCCACTACCTGGACGAGGACGGGGTGCTGGACGCGTTGGAACCGATCATGGCGGACGGCGGCGTGATCCTGGACCACCACAGCTCGGACTGGTTTCCCGAGCGCTGGGTTCAGCTCGTCGTCGTGTTGCGCGCCTCCACGGAGACGCTGTACGACCGCCTCCAGGCCAGGCAGTACGTAAAGGAAAAGGTCGACGGCAATGTGCAGGCGGAGATCATGCAGGTCGCGAGGGATGAGGCGAAGGAGAGCTATCCCAAGGCCGTGTTTGTTGAATTGGATAATAGCATGGAGGAGGAGAAGCTTGCCAATTTAGCTCAAATGAAAAAAGCGTGGTCCGCTTTGACTAGGCGCCCCGAGGATGGTGAGAGCGTACGGTAGCCTCCTGTGATGAGCTGGGGATGGAAGCTTCGAGAAGATTGTTCCATCTACAACTCTTGTCTTCTGTTTTACGCCCAACAAGCAATGATGAAGCAAGCGTAGAGGGGGTTGCGGAGAGGTGGTGGATCGCCATGTTGATGTCGCTAGTCTGATTCAACATCCACTTTTCCCGGAAAGTGTACGCAGTTGGGCGACTTGAGGACTTTTTTGCAGACGAAGAGCAGTGGTCCCCGCTGCCGAGTAGGCAACTTTTTGTGAAAGTAGTTCCCCACTACTTTTTGTTTACCATCGAAATTGTACAGAAAGGTACAAATAGTTACAGAGCGTACGACGGATGGGATCATCACTAGAGTTAGAAGATTGAAAAACGCCCTTGTGCGCATGTCATCTACTTGTTTCATACGCCTGAGGTGGGCCGTGCCGCGTGTTTAAAGAAAAAAAACAAAAAACGAGAACGAAGGAGAGCAAGATCCCTGGAGCCTCGGGGATGGCATCACACCCGCATGGCCTCCAGAACCGGCCCATATTAATTACTTTGTCCCACGTCTTCTCTTGGCGAGAACCTCCTTCCGCTTCTTCACATGCTTAGGAGTTTTCTTCTCTCTCTTCTCTCTGTTCTCGGCCTTGATTCTTTTCTTCCATTCCTTCTTTGACAATCCTTCGTAAGGGTCCATAGGCTCCTCACGATGTGGTCGAAGCCACAGCTCTCCAGAAGAGGTCTCGCTTCTGTCGTTATCAGGGAATATATCACTCTCCTCTACCCCTGTGACAGTTTCAGTGATAGCAGCTTCATGCACGAGGGTGCTGCCGGGATCTACTGCTGCGAAGAAACCGATATGATCCATCCTTGACTGTTGCTCAAGCATTTTTGACAGCCTTTCTGCGTCTGGCCTGTCTTCTTGGGGCCGCAGGCTGCTGCTCGAAGTGACCGGGGACATCGTCCGGACTTGACTCTTATCCTTTTTTGGGAGACCACGAACGGTAGCCGGCTCGGACAGAGGGACCTCGAGATCGACAACATCGCCGTGGTCGAGTTCGCCATCGATTGCCAAAGACATATCTTGATTTTTCGACGCGGCATCCAGAGCTCCAGCGCGGGCAACACTTGAATCCGAAGCAGTACGACTTCTGGACGAGCTCGCACCCACGCGTACTCGTTTCTGAGCAACGGTTAACCCGGTGAGCTTGGCATAGAGATTCTCCTCCAAGTCAACAGATGTGTGAGCTCGAAATTCTTTTTCGCGCAGTTCAACTTCCTGAAGTGTACGTGGAATATACGACTTCATGAAGACTTCATCGTCATGGTCGACGTCTCTGATGGAGGTAGTATCCCTGCTAGAGGCGCCTTCCAACCATGTATTGCA